TACATCATCATAACGTGCATTAAGGCAGTGAAGGAACCGGCTGGAGATAAGCTTTGATCAAACGAATTATTTGATCCTGTAAGATCAAAGTATATACAGTAAACTGCTGTACATTTCAGCAATGATGGAAACTCTAACAGCATTTTATTTCAGCTTTACTCAGGGTTCTGCCCACAACATCTTTACTGTAGAGTTCCTTCTATTAGTCCATTTTCCCTGATATATAACAATTTATATACTTGAACATCAAACATTCAATAGACATCATATACTTATCTGTATAAAAATAGATTTGCTATCAAACATGTAACGCCCTAATACTTTGATGGTACCTTTAGGCGCATCAAATGTGCAGTTGTTGCAAGAAATTTTCTATCACGATTTACGATCACATCTTGCACAGTAAGTAGTATAAGACTACTTTCCCTAACAATGCCTTGTAGATGTGTACTTGCACCCCCTGATCCCCGACCATAAGCATAAAGCTTTATTCACTCTATGGATCTTACTACTCGCTCTGACCTCGATCCAGTTGATCCTGGAATAGTGCTAGAACTTGCTTCAGAACGAGTTTTACAGCAATACTTTCAAGTGGCTGTTATTACAATATTAGTTTATGATGCTAGTAAGCAACATTACCATCGTTTCAATGCTACAAAGTTACTGATAGTTATTGTAGTTATAACAATGGATAATGAAGTAAAGTACTTCATTTTGCTGTTTCAGTCTATATTTAATACTGTTGTATGAAGGTCAGATATTTCTGGGTTAATAATTATATATTTCAATCATTTTATACTATTCAATATTCACATTAAATTAATTAAAGAAACCTCCGATAAAATTCATCAATTTGCTCTACTTTCTTGTACATTGTTTTAAACTTACTATGCTGATCCTAGCTAAGCCATTTGAAGATCCGATACACTGGGATAATAGGAGCTATCTCTCGTTCTATTTGTACGTCTTTGTTATACTTTTATATTCTGAGTAACTGCTTACTGTTTACTTTATAAAAAGGGGGTATAAATGGAGTGAATCTAGCTATGTAAGTTTTGTCTAACTGCCATAATTTGTTTGTAACACAAAGCTCTGTTTAGATGTATGTGAAATGCATATCTAGAAATTAAATGTATATTAACTAGCTTCAGGCAATTTTTCCTTGTGGACACAGGACATTGCTAGTAAGTTAGCTTATAGAATTGCTCGAATATTCTACTAATATATGAGACAGATTGGATTACTGGGAACATACTCGATTGTATGTATATATTCTAACAAGTATAGTTTCTTTTAACCAATTATTCTCTTGTAGATATTCTGATGATTTGTGTTGTTGCACTTTATGCTCAAGGTATATAGTATGATTAACATATTAATAATGTACTCACCTGTCTGAAAGACAAGAAAATATCGATAATCTTGACTGTGCTTCTTATAATTCAAGCGTGTTTAAGAATGGCCTTCGTTGTATATATTCAAGTCGTCCAGAAAAGTGAGTTTTGTATCATTTTCACAAGAATACAGATGCTCACTTTTGACAGTTGATATTGGTGCTCTTGTTGAAGGTGTCATAACCTGTGGAGAAGACGTTCTCCTACCCTGGCAGTTTGGAGTAGTTGATTGGTATGCTATTCAGTGTTGCAAAGAACGTTATCTAAATTATCAATAGGTTGATTCCATTAGTGTATGGAATCATACTCATGGTTCTATCAATCTACAAGGCTGCAGAATACTGGAGATTGTCAGCCAGCTTCAAAGGATTCACACTAGTGAAAGTACTTATTTGGGACCAAGTCATATATTTTTCCCAGTGAGTTTGTGTTTCTGCTTCTTAGCATACAGAGTTGAGAAGTTTGTTCAGTATTGTTGCATGTTGTGTATTAAACATATTGGAGTTCAAGATTGATATCAAAAACAATGTCTTGGCAACTCTCCTTGAATCACAAGGAAACCTATTATGAGATGATTAGTTCATCAACAGACAAACCACAAGACAATGACTTCATAATGTCTCAGTTAGAATACATACAATATAAGGACGAGAGACACTGAGCAGTCAATCATCACCTCACCCCTTGTCTATGCATGCCCCCCTTAAGTTCTCCCTCTTAACAGGTTATGAGCCTTGAGCTCCCTGCATACACACATCTACTGTACACTCTAAACTCTTTACTTGCATACATTTGCACACATTTGCATCATGGTTCCCCCACATACAGATACACACTGTAAACCAGCCAATGTACCCAAATACTTTGGTCAAAACATTACAATGCTTAAGACTGAAGCAAACTACAAGATGTGGCACTACTGCATTGTTTCTAGTGTTGCAGCTATGTGCTTCAAACACTTACTAAAGGATGAACTGCAGAACAAAGCTGAGAGGGAGATGGCTAAGGCCATTCATACATACATAGTTAATAACATTGCTGACACAATATTAGCAAACTATATACACTTTGATATGTCTATCCCTCAGTTAATGAAAGCACTTAAAGAACACTTTAACCCCCAGACAGCACATAAAAAGGCTATTGACGAATTGGCACTGTTTATTTGTAGAGACCATGTAAAACATTTTGGACATACATTAGACAGACTTGAGGAAGCATACACAACTCTGTCTACTAATGGTGATCCACCATACAACTCTACATACAAAGCAGCAATATTGCTTACTACTCCTGAGCAATATACACACATAGTAAATACAATAATACAATCTACTGATGCCCAAAACAAAGGCAAACCAGTCAATAAACATAAGAAAGTTGAACTGAAGCAACTAATCCTTACATTGTAGAATGCCTACAATGATTACTGTGCTAAACAAGCACAAGACTCTAATGATTGGACAAAGAATAATGCACACATTAATACAATGTATAAAGCCAATAAGCAGAGGAAATTCAATCTGCCAAATCTGTTCAATCTGACAAAAGCAAAATGTTTCAATTGTGGAAAAACAGGACATTTCTCTAAGGAATGCCACAAACCTCCTACTGAAGCTACAAAGCTTGCATGCACCAAACATCAGGCTAACATTGTGTATAAAACAAATCAAACTGTAGAAAACACAACAAACACATTTATTATTGAAAACCCAAACGAAAACAATGTTGAA